AACACTAGGACTTGCTCATGGTGAGGACAAAACTGAGATAGCTTGCATGTTACTCGAACCAAATAAAATTGGTGCTGATCGAGTCCAAAACCATGTTCAAATGCTGGCAGAACAAGAAGGTTTAGAGGTTGAGAAGGGTTATTTTACTGATTTTTCACCAGAGATGATTGTTGAAAGATACTTAAAATTAATCTCTTCCGGCTCTGCCTGAGTTGAGGATCAAGTGCAAGCTAATCAATTGCGATTCATGAAGACTAAAAACGATTAAACAAGTCATCCTGTCCAGCATATTAAACAATGCTCTGATGTCTAAAGTGTGGAATAAAATGACACCTTTCTTCTCTCCACTGTGTTTATTTACTACGTTCTAACAAAATGTTACTATTAATTTTATATTTGCTATTAGAAATATCAACAGTTAAAAAAATTGAATATACCTACAAAAATACATAACTATAAAATTTCGTCGGAGTTACCAATGGCTTCCGTTAGTTGTCGAGGGTTGATAACATCACTGACGACAATGTTATTGATGATAACTAACATAAATGCATTGGTTATCTCTAACGTATCTTCGCCGGTACTTCCGCCTGAATGTTTATTTCCCTTAGAATCTCCGTATTGCTATGTTGTGGTATAACGATGGCATTTTCGTCCATCATTAATTGCTCTATTATTATTTTTTAATATTATATATAAATAAATCCCCCAATAATTTTGTCTAAGACGGAAGCCGCTTGACGCCTTCGTATGTGTTTTTTAAATAGAATTTTTATGAAGGGATTATGTATATTATAAGATGAACCTTCAAGTGTTTGATACCAATGATATAATCACCAAGATAGACAAGTACAAGTACGTAAATTACATGGTCAATTTATATATGTTCTTATTTTCGGTCTTTAATTTTACGAGTAATGCAAGACCCACTCCAGGGTAGGAAGTGAGAAAAGTGATAGTTAACCAATCAAGAAAACAAAAACTTCTATCAAAAGGATGCTAATAAGCTGCTCACCTACAATCCCCATATCCTAAT